TTTAATTTTTGAGACTTACCAGGGTTAGTGGATAGTCATTCTTTGTAGAAAATGATGGGCATTGATTGCCAAGAAAATCATTGTAACTACACTGATGAAAATAACATAGCAGCACAAGCCATTTCATAACTATTCAAAATATTTAGGCATTTGAATGTTAATAACAAATGCTGATGTAGAAAAAAAATGAATAAAAACCAAAACTCTGCCCTTTGGACATCTCAGAGAAAGCTACGTTATCACAGGTAGTGCAGCTGCAAGCGTCCCAAAGAAACTGAACACCGATCCCTCAAAATGGATTCGCAACCATGTTCACCCACGCTTCACAGGTAATGCAGCAACAACCGCAGCCAGTAGTTACTAAACCCAGGTGCAAATTGCAATGTTTTGCTCAAGAAGAACAAAGTGCAAGTTTCTTATTTGGGGTCCTAATGACTATGCGATTGCTGATGTTTCACTAGATTTACCATGCGCTGAAATATAAAAGCACACCATGTTGATAACTTGTGATAAATTAGCTAAAAACTGCTATACAAAAGTTTCAATCTGAGCCCTGAAAAATACATTAGGGGCAAGGTCTTGACATCATGTACAGTAATTATAAACACTGACTCAGCATGCAACTCAACATGTTTTTATTTCCATTAATAAGAAATAAGTAAAAAAATGATAAAAACTGTGAGAACTATTTAAAGTTTACACGCATACGACTTATTTACCACTTCCGTGTCACTGAGAATGTTCTAGAAACGTACTGTGTCTGGGTAGAATATTCTAGATTTTTAGAAACTGGTTGAATAGGTAATAGAACACTGTAGAAGGCAATAGAAGGTAATGGAACATTCTAAAAATTTGTCATTGTTTCTGTCTGAAAAGAGGACTATATTTTCCAAAGACTGTCTCTAGACCTTGAGTGATCCAACAATCAGGAAAATTAAGCTGTTTTTTTCTTTCTGTAACTTCATTTCGGTCGTCAAATTATATCCGCGGGAGTCCATCTAGGTAAATAAAAATAGCTGACCACCCACCCCCATTTCCCAGAATAAATAAACCTGAAACGGATATCGTTCCTCTGATTCGCTTTTTACCATTTATGCGTACTGTCTGGAAAGGGGTGTCAAATATCCACAGTTTGTCTGAAAAGGGGTAGGCGTTTCAAACAACCAGCTACACACCCCTGTCAGTATTTTTGCAAGTACTCCCCTCCCGGGGGTTGCCTACATTCGCACTCATCATGTGTCTTTGGTGAATGGATTTCGCACGTAGTTTGTTAACATTTTTAGCTCCGCTGTCGACTTTGTCGAGCGGAGCTTATCATATGAGTGATTGTCCGGTGTCGTCGTCCGTGTCAATGTTTTACTTTTTCGACTTCTTCTTGAAAACTACAAGCCTGAATGCTTTGATACTTGGTGTATATGTACCTTGGGTAGACCTCTCTTAGGTTTGTTCATTTCATGTTGATATCTTCAATTCTCTAAATTTGGTGAATATTTTTGTCATTTTTGGTAAAAAGTGATATTTTCGACTTCTTGTTAAAAACCGCAAGTTCAATTGCTTTGATATTACTTATATATGTACTACATGTGGACTGCTCTCAGATTTGTTCATTTTGTAATGATATCTTTAATTCTCTAATTTTGGTGAATATTTTTGTCATTTTTGGTAAAAAGTGATATTTTCGACTTCTTGTTAAAAACCACAAGTGCAATTGCTTTGATATTACATATATAGGTACTACATGTGGACCTCTCTCAGATTTGTTGATTTTGTGATGATGTCTTCAATTCTCTAATTTTGGTGAATATTTTTGTCATTTTTGGTAAAAAGTGATATTTTCGACTTCTTGTTAAAAACCGCAAGTCCAATTGCTTTGATACTACATATATAGGTACTACATGTGGACCTCTCTCAGATTTGTTCATTTTGTGATGATATCTTTAATTCTCTAATTTTGGTGAATATTTTTATCATTTTTGGTAAAAAGTGATATTTTCGACTTCTTGTTAAAAACCGCAAGTCCAATTGCTTTGATACTACATATATAGGTACTACATGTGAACCTCTCTCAGATTTGTTCATTTCGTGATGATATCTTCAATTCTCTAATTTTGGTGAATATTTTTGTAATTTTTGGTAAAAAGTGATATTTTTGACTTCTTGTTAAAAACCGCAAGTCCGATTGCTTTGATATTACATATATAGGTACTACATGTGGACCTCTCTCAGATTTGTTCATTTTGTGATGA